TCTGATTTCTATTTATGATATTCTATGCTCTTAAGTAGAATACACTGCCTATTCTCGACGAATTTACTGATTTTGCTCTCAGCCTGAGATTGTATTAGGAGACTCGTATTACAAGTCACGTTCAAAACATTTAACTGACGTCAACAACAGACYGACGATTTAATTTTTATCAAACATATTCAATTCATTCCCTTCTAACCTTCATAGTGAACTGGATTTTACAAGCTTCTAACCTTCGTATYGGGATCTATTTTCATTTCATTATACTRATTTTGCTCTCAGCCTCGGATTGGAMTTGAGTTACATCTCAGCCTCGGATTGGGTTCTTTTGTAGTTTTTCATARTTTGCACCGCGTTCGTATTTTAATAATGATAGCTTATTTCGCCACATTTGCATGGTACACCTCAGCCTCGGATTGATCCTGTTTTTATATTAAATCTAAAAGATATGATTCAACATTTTAAAGACCTTTTCCCTTCCCCGCGGGTTACATTGTTGCATGCAATGGAAATGAATTAAGATGTGAAACACGAGCAGTGTGGATTGATAAAGATCACTGGCATTAAGGTATCTTTCTTGACAAGATATGGAGAAACACATTTAAATAAACAATGCAGACATGAAATCAAGGTGGTGTGAGGSTCATAGAATTATACTTCATAACACCTTACCATTTGTTGAAACTATTTAATCAAGACGTTTTAATATTCAAGCTCGAGGACATTAGCTAARAATTTGTATACATGGGTACAAATTAGTAAGTACATATGTACAAATTAGTAAGTTACATTATCGCCGCCTGCAGTTGTCATCRCGAGGGCATTAGATATGGCAAATTTGTTGATTCATGGTTAATTTGATTGATAAAAGTCTTTAAATCGAAGTTCGTGTAAACTTATTTAGCTTCGTATTATTGGACACGGATTCTAAAGCTATAGTTTCTTGCCGGGCTATTGATTACCCTGACTATCAGGCTTTCCAAGAACAAGTTTATAAAGTTAACATTACTTAGATATCAGTTAATAAAACATCTTTGAATCGAGAACGGAGATATCATCTTTTTTAATGGTTTCACTTTGAACGGTCTTGCGTAATGGTTTATGAACGGCATAGTATTAAACGATTTTTTGTATCAATAATAATGAGGCTGAGATGTATAGAGTCAAAATGTTTGGCTCGTTAGTCACGTGACGTGCGCCATGTCGCGATGTCAAATGATTGACAACACMAATCTTATCCATCGTACCAAGTTTCGTTACCATAGCATTTATTGTAATGACTAYTGGCGAAAATCGGCGATGTTTTGTTTGTAAGTCACGTGATATGTGACRYCAAGCCATGCCACGTAGTCAGATGACTGACAACACAAGTCTCATYCATCGTACCAAGTTTCGTTACCATARCATTTATTGTAATGACTATTGGCGAAAATCGGCATTGTTTGTTTGTAAGTCACGTGGTATGTGACCTCACGCCATGTCACATGGTCAGATGACTGACAACACAAGTCTCACCGCAATGCTACCAAGTTTCGTTACCATAGCATTCATTGTAATGAGTGTTCGCAAAAATCGGCGAAAATGTTTGGTTCGTAAGTCACGTGATGTGACGTCACGTCACGTGGTCTGATGATTGACAACTCTCACCAATGATACCAAGTTTTGTTACCATAGCATGCATCATTCCGGAGTTATGGCCAAGGGACCAGGAGATGCGGGCCACCAGATGTTGGAGGCACGTGCTAACCCCTTCTCACACCCTAAGAGATACCAGAAAAATGCTGATTTTCAAAAATTCGCATTTAACCACAGGTAGCCCAAGCTTGGTTTCTGTGGTGTTCTGTTATAAGGAAATGTATGGAGATTCATCAAAAATTTCAATAAAATCATTAAAACGTGAAATAAAGCCTCGAAATTTTACCCGATCATTGAGAAATAGCACTTCCTTCGCTCTGCGTGGTTATTTTTTGAATTTAGCCCGTTTTAAGATTTTTTCCACCACCCTGGTGGGATGCATTTGGATCGGCCCATGTGAGGTACGGCGTTTGACCCGAAGTCGATCTTCAGTCGTTCTTC